TGAGGGGAGGGAGAAGAGAGACAGAAACATCAGTGATGAGAGAGAACCATTGGTTGGCTGCCGCCAGCACTCTCCCCCTGGGAATCAAGCCTGCAACCTGGGCCTGCGCCCTGACCAGGAACCGGTGACCTCTTTGTGCATTGGTCCCTGCTCAACCCACTGAGCAACACCGGCGGGGCTGTCCTCAGCTCTTTGTCTCCCTGCAGGGCCTGACTAGGTGCAGCTCCTGAAGGCATAGGCTTTGGGCACAAAATTGAGGCTCTCCGGGGACTCTGAATCAAGATAAATCATATGGGACCCAGACCTGTTTTCTCAGTGGTTAGAGCATCAGCCTGCACAGCCAGGGGCCAGGGGTAGGATTCCAGGTCAAGGGCATATATCTCAGGTGCAGCTTTGATCCCTGACCCCGGGTCGTGGAGCGTGGGATAGGCAACCAGTGGATGTGTCTCTTCCATGTTGATGTTTCTCTCTCTCTGCCCCTCCTCAATCCCTCTGTGCTTTCTCTAAAGATCAATGGAAAAAATCTCCCCAGGTGAGGATTTGAAAAAAGAACCATGTTTAATGCAATAGTTAAAAAAATCAAACCTAGCCCTTACTGGTATGACTCAGTTGATAGAGCGTCGGCCTGCAGACTGGAGGGTCCCAGGTTCGATTCCAGTCAAGGGCATGTACCTTGGTTGAGGGCACCTCCCCGGTGGGGGATGTGAAGGAGGCAGCTGATCAATGTTTCTTTTTTATCCATATTTCTAACTCTCTATGCCACTCCCTTCCTCTCTAAATAAAATCAATAAAATATATTTGTTTAAAAACAAACCTAATGCAAATTCCATGGTGAATGGAACATTGACAGGGTAAGTGAAGACTGGTCAGCTACAGAGCCATGGCAGCCATGGTTTGCTGATGTAGGACAGTCCTCACTGCTGATGTGCCCTTTGTAGATGCTGATGTCATGTGATGCGTGAGTCGCCTTCCCTTTGACCGTGTAGATCCTGCACTGGAATAGCGTTCACCCTGACGCTGAGCGGGGCCCCTTCAGTCCTGTGCTGGAGGCCAGTCCGCACCTGCCTCTGGCTGGTCCCACCCTCCCCTGTTCACAGCAAGTGACAGGTCCCTCCTCCCCCCGCTCTGTGCTCAGGGTGCTGACACACACTGGAAACGCAGTCATGCAGAGTTGTGCTTCCTGGATCGGGTCCCTTCTTGGCACCTGGATGAGGGGAAGCAGTACAGACTCACCTGCTACATCTCCTGGAGCCCCTGCCCTGACTGTGCCCAGAAACTGGTGGAATTCATGGGCGAGAACAGCCACGTGAGCCTGCGCATCTTCGCTGCTCGCATCTACACCAAACTTGATGGACATGAGGATGGGCTGCGCAAGCTGCAGGACGCTGGGGCCCAACTCGCCATCATGACCCTCAAAGGTCAGCAGGGACTCCTGAGGGTGGGAGGTGGGCGGGCAGAGAGGCTGGGAAATGGCTGCACAGAGGGGGCAGGAGGAGAGTCCAGGTGGGGAAGCCTGTCAGCTGCCTACAGGGCTGCTGCTGGAGTCTGGATAGGATGGAGTCTCTTGGAGGAGAGAGTTCAGGGGAAAGAGGGGGTCCTGGGAAGGGGGAAGAAGGGTCCCAGTGCCATCAGGACCCTGGCCTTCCTGGTTTGGGGGGGTGGGGGCTGCCTCAGATTCCAGAGGAAGAAAGAATGTGAGGGATGAGCTCAGTGCCTTGGGAGGAGAGAGAAAGGGGGCAGGGAGATCCTGATGGGGAGGGTGTGTCCCTAGAGTCAGAGACCTGGGCCCTCCCCGCTCTGGAAGGAGCTCACCTTTCCCCCCTGTTCCCATAGAGTATGAGCACTGCTGGGACACCTTCGTGGACAGCCAGGGCCAGCTGTTCAGGGCCAGGGATGAACTGGAAGTACACATAGGAGCCCAATGTCAGAGGCTGGAGAACATTCTCAGGGTGAGGTTCCTCCCTCCTGCGCCCCTGTTCCCTTCTCTCCCTGGGCCTGTCTCTGCCTCTGGGTCACCTGCTCCCTCCTGGGCCCCAGCTCCATCCTCCCCTCAGGTCTCACAGTCCCTCTGCCCTCTCCCCTCCTGCGCCCCTTTTCCTCCCCCTCCTGTGACTGCCCCAGACTCTGCTCTGTTCACCTTCCCACCTGCCTCACTCCCTGCTTCCTCCTCCTCCTCCTCCTTCTCGATCCAGAATCAGGGAAACTGAAGGACAGACTCAACTTCTCTATGCAAGTCTGGGGTCTTCTGGTGAACGAAGCATTAAACACTTTCTTCAAAAAATGAAAGCGCATCACGTGCTGCCATCTCCAACATGATCCGCAGAATCCAGCAAAAGGCAACGAATGAGCTCAGAAGAAATTTTTTAAAAATATGATTGATTTACTTTTCATTTAAAATCTATCATGTTCTAAATACACACCAGTAATATTCTATTCATTACTATCAGAATCATTTTTTCCTTTTAGGGACATGATTATTTTTTAATGCTTTTAAAACTAAAACAATAATATGAAAGATTAAGAATCTCCATAAAATGTCTTTTCCTCTGTAAGTGTGTCATGAAGTCCAAATCATTCAATAAACACCTGCAAAGTGCAAAGGGCTTTCTCTTCTGTGGGGACCTTCATGGGAGGGCCGAGGTCACAGGAATTCCTACGGGTCAAGAAAAGTCAGTGATGTTTATAGGATGAGAGGAGCCGGCCTGAAAGGGAGCAGCCTGGTCCTCAGTGCAGGGCGGCCAGGGTCGGACTCTGTGGGGCTGGCCCCGCCCTCCCTGAGCTGGGCACGTCCCCTGGGAGGGAGCGTGGGGCCAGCACAGGGGGGTCTGAGAGGAGCCCGATGGACAGTCAGTGGACAGAGGTGCATCCCCTCGGGGACAAGCTCTACCAGCTGGGGCTCAGGTCACACTTCAGCCTGGAACACAAAGTCCCCCGGCTCCTCACAGCTGGGGGTGGAGAGGGCGAGCGGTGCCCCTTCCTGAGGCGGGCACACCCTGCATCCTCTGCTCCCAGGCCATCCTGGCTGCCCTGCTGGGAGCCTCTCTGTTCTCCTCTGTGTGATGGGCGGACAAAGGCTCCAAGTCCAGTTCCTTCCCCTATAGGGTGGCTCCTAAGGGGAGCTCAGCTCATGGTGGTCCCGCCCTGCCCTTCCTCTCAGGGCAGAGTCTCCCTCCCGGCCTGGAGGGGCGCCCGGGGGG